ACATTATCATATTAAACAAGTTTATGTGACGTGTGCAAATGACAATCTGTGATTATTTCATTGAAATGTACATCCAATAGCAACGAGGAAACATGAAAAAAATAACGTTTAAAGTATACCGTAAAAACAAGCAAAAATAGTCATTGCTTTGTTAAAATCGAAGTGACATATTTTCGCCCTGTATTGTGAGAAAAACAACACGTCAACGCATTCGACAAATCAAACAAAGAGCAGACGCTTCAAAGAGTCAAATCCAGTTATGGAATTGTCATGTGTCAACAATTTTCTGGTAACAGAGAGTTGCGGGTACTGGTTGTCACTGTACAATCTTGTTGGTGCAACCATTTCTAGTTTAGCCAAATAATTCAAATACATTTTGAGTAACTTCGTCATTTATCATACAGCAATTCATACGATTGGATGAAACAAATTGAAAGGTAATATTGATATTGATGTTTTCTATTGAGGTCGATTTGATCCAATTTGTTCCAATCGCGTAACAATCTCGCGCATAGCAAACCAACCAGCAACTCATTGCTGAAAATGTTGTCCAAAACAAGATGGCGGCGACAGTGACGTCATATCTCATTGTAGTACTGCATAGTAAACAACTTAAATATAATAAAAATGATATGCTTATAACTTTTTAAGTGTACATTTTGGCTTTGTGAATTCCATTTATGATGAATGTTGTTATTACTTTTTCTTACCTCCCAAATACACGGAACCGTAGTAGCGAGGGCGCTGTTCACATGATCTATGAGATAGATTACTAGTATATATTACACATTAGTTTTATGAATTGTCACCAAATCCAAGTGCACTCAAGGTCCTAAATAGGCGATCATGGTGTACTCATCAAAAGCTTTTTCTTGGCCAAATGTCAAAATTCCAAGCATGGAGTTTGATTCATTAAGTGGCTGTGTCATGTACTAAACGGATGTTGCCATAAATCTGCCTGCCCGTAATTGTGTAGCTTTGACCAGGATGGATAATCCACCCGCGGGCTTCCTTTAGGCGTAGCAAAGAAGGATAACTGGTCGCCAGATTTTCAAAAACGTGCTGTCTCCTTTTTTGGTAAGAGAGCTATAACTCTATGGCTGGACGTGGTAGAACGCCCTCACCCAACATGACTGAAAAAACACCTCGTGTAAATCAGAACATTCTAGTCCGTCAATACCAGGTGTTCTTCCATTTGAGAAAGCTTGTACGATGTCAATATCAAACTGAGTCAAACCACACATGTACAGAAGTTTATTTTGAGCCTGAAATGGGAGAAGGCGAAAACAAGTCGCAGTAGAACTGCTGAATTAGTTGACATATTTCAGATATTCTGTAAGGGTGTTGTCATGGTCACTAATTCAGTACTACTTTCTCTGCTTACGTTTCTGACTACGTTCCCAATCATGTGAGGCACAGTAAAATACATTCTCAAAGTAAATCAATTTCCTTATGGATCGTCATATTTATTTTACATTTACACATCAACAATCGACTATTACTACACTGAAGGCGCCTGCTGAACGTATACTTTCATTTTCGGTGGATGTACGTTTGTGATTTGTACTGAAATTGTTCAGCCAGTAAAGTACAGTATATTCTCTACATGTACTTTTGACAAACATCATTACTCACAGCACGACCATGGTGTTTACGGTCTAAGTGTCCATGGTCTGTGGTTGTGCATATAAGCTAATCCGTCGTCACAGATTTGCTGATGGTATGTTCCTCCAATTATTTGGAATTCTCCATCTCCAAATAATTCCATGTTAGGCTTAACAGTGTTATGGTAATGACATGCATCTAATCTAATCTAAATATTCTACACAGGGTGATAAACTATTAATGGTGACTTTAACTCACGTATTGGCGATATAATGACACAATCGATGACGAAAATAATAAACACTTACCTACTCAAGATAACTATATTGATGATAATTTCCGTATAAGAAACAGTTTCGATGTTGATTCAAAATCTTGTATCAACAAATTTGGCCGAAAATTAACCAAACTTTGTTTTGACTGTAACTTTAACAGCTGTACCGTCGAAGATTCAATGGGAAGTTCACCTGCCACACTCCAGTGGTAGTAGTACAATAGACTACGCAATATCGTTAAAGCGTTTACACGAGCTTCTGCAGTTCTTTAAAACACCAGATATAACCCATATTTCAGACCACTACATAATCACAATCTCATTAAAAGTAAACGAAGCCGGTGCTTACTCAAATATGGAGCGTAAACACAAACTTGAATCCCTAACCCCTAAATACATATGAGACATCGAAGGAAGAACAAATTTCATATCCTAATTGAAACAGGCATTTTGTATCACTTGTATCTTCTTTGGCGGACAAAAGTCTGAAGAAAATCAAACCACAAAAACAAAAACAAAATAACAAGCGTACAACAAATGAAAAGAAATGGTACTGTAGACTCCTTAAAAACGAGTTCAAAACTATCTCAAAATTTCTAAAAGCATATCCAAGGGACCCTCTTATTCGGGGTAAACTCTTCATCGTCAGTAGTTAATTCTAAAAATGTCACAAAAAGGAAAAGGGAAAAATTCAAAGCTTCACAACTGTATAATGTAGAGAGCTGATCATTCTGGAATGAACAATGATACACCACATAAACAAACAAATGATTTCACAAAGAACACCTAATGAGTGGTTAACCTATTTCAATAAACTATTAAATCCATCGTGCGATATTAAAACAGATAAGAATGTCCCTAATAATAATATCACTCATGAACTAAAAGAGTTGGAACACAACGCGATCAATAACGCCGATATTATTGGACCAATTCTAAAGAGCGAAAATAAAAAAGCAACTGCTGGTCAACTCCACTGTTTAGAAGCAATACATAAACTTTATCTACAAATCTAACGATTTCATAGAATGATTGAGTTCGGGTTTAATAGCGCCAATTTTTAAATCAGGTTCAAATCAAACCCCTCAAATTACAGAGGTATGGCCTTATCCATCTGCCTGGAAAAACTGCTTAATAGTATATTGAATCAAAGAATAACAACTTTCCTAGATGATAATAATATTATTTTGAAAACACAGTTTGGGTTTAGAAAAGGTTATTCTTGAAAACAATAATTAATAAGTATCTGTATCACAGTGAGGCTCCGAAAGAACAAACATTTAACACAAACTATAAAAATAAAAATAAAAAAACTATATGCATGCTTTGTGGATCTGAAAAA